GTTACCACTAAATCATAATGGCAACACTTGAATTTTTTGAAAAACATAACCATCAGCTCACCATTTGAATCCTGGAAATGCCCATCCTCTTTATCAGTGGTTGTCCGCTCCAAATGTTCAGCAGCATCAGCCACCAATGAAACCCCAGCAATGGCAGCCTTTTCCCACCTTTTATATGCAGCTGTGGCACCTGCCTCAGCATAGTATTAGCAACACCCAATCAGGAAGAGGTATCTACTTTTGGACCTTCAATGGAAAACTGGGAAAGACCAAAATAATATGAAAAATATCCAGGCATGCAAATGCAACAACCATAGGTCAGCCATCAGTGTCTTCACACTTCAGGCTTTAATTTGAATGATGAGAACTTGCAGGAAAAGATACGAATGCAAATGTAACAAGCACAGGTCAGTCTCTCAAGACTTCAGGCTTCAATTTGCATGCTGTTATGTTCAAGTGGTTTTACACATGTAAAATTTATTTACATGCTTTGTCATACTATACTGCTGCAAAATGCAAATCACATTAACAGCTTGTTGGAAATTGTAACATAACATGAAAGAACATGATGCACACATCAACCATAGGAAGATAAAAACAAAAGCAACAAAGAACATCAAGAGTAAGACCCAGGGAGTTCAAGTTTTGCTTGTTCTACTAAGCTCCCCCAGGGAAGTGTTGCTTCACCTATTTCAGTTTTTAATGCAATGCAATGTTGTCACCCAACAAAATATTTGATTTAATGCTCCAGTTTTCTATGCTAGTTCCTAAAACAAAGTTGTGTCCCCATGAAAAACCACCAATAGGAGTAGGAAATGGATGTAAACAACAGATAACTAACAAATTAGCATAATGAATTATAAGACTTTAACTCACCTATCTTTCTTCGATGTCTAGCTGTTTTAAGAAGAGAAGAGTCTGCTTTACAGGAGGTGCTATTGGCACCTATATTTATATGGCGTTTTAGTGATGATCCTTTTCCAGATCCAAATTTGTGTATGTCTTGATTGTCAAGAAGAACCACTTTAACTGACCGACCATCATGACCAGAGGCCCCCCTGCCTTGATTTGAGACAGAAATAGGGGCAGTTGAAGTATTTTCCCCTTGAGAAAAACACCTCCTTACATTCTTCTTTCGGTCTTTCAAGAGTTGATTCTCCTTTATTACAAAACCAAGTAATTATATGACTGTCAGTGTAAACCATGATTTAAACATTGTAAACACCAGGAATTTGTGACTAACCAAGGTCTCGATGAATATTTTGAATCTCCGAGGCTTCAAGTGAAGCTTTGAAGCTTTACAGCTATATTTTTCCAGTAAAGACCACCTAGAAATTATTAAAAGAAAAAAAAAAATTAAGCATGTGATTACCACAAGATTTACAAATGTTATAATAATAATAATAACAATAATAACAATAACAATAACAATAATAATAATAACAGTAGCTATTAGATATTAAAAAAAATATATCACTAACAAAAGATGGTGAAATTCATCCCCTAAGAGTCCCACTAATTCAGCTCCTCAGAGTTCATTGCAACAAGCAGGTGTAAGTTTCACAGAATGCCATAAAAACTCTCTTCCTAATAAGCCACTCACCTATAATTTATATCATTTCATAATTGCTTTTACATTGTAAGGTTAGTGGTAATGCATTAAAGCCTTTGTAAATCATTGAAACAATGAAAATTATAGCCTTAACAACATAAGGGAGATGCTATACTAGAGTTAATGGCAGAAATAGGAAAAAATAAAGAATTTTGACAAAAATAGGAAGCTTTTGAAAGTTGGACAAAAATAGGCAAAACTCATTTACCAAATGTGTTTCTTGTCAGACCCGCGTATACACTACGAGAGACACGCAAGTGAGACTTGTGTCTCTCAGTACAGCATGGAGAGACGCAAGTCCCACTAGCGTCTCTCCCTGCCTTTTGAAAATTTAAAAAAACAAAAAAACAAAAAAACAAAAACAAAAACAAAAACAAAAAACAAACACTTATACCAGAAGAAGAAGAAGAGAGATAGGACAGAGCTTGAATAAAGGAATGGGAGAAAACCAGAGCTACGAAAATGGCGGAAAAAGGTAGAATATACAAGCTATAAAAGGTCTGCGTAGCCATGGTGGAGAAGGCAAGGTCTATTAAGAGCCCTTAGAATAAGAAGAAGAAACCCTCCCCCCTTCTTCATTCAATAAAAGACGCCAAAAGCCAGAAAACTCCGGGGCAGCCATGGGGAGAGCTTGCGCAACGGCGGCAGTGGTGCTCTTGCTGTGTCTCTCCGTCGTGAGGGTGGAGGATCCCTACTTGTTCTTCCCTTTTTTTTTTTTTCAAAAGGCAGGGAGAGACGCAAGTCTCACTTGCTTCTCTCCTGACCGGCTGCAGTTCACCGGTCAAGGAGACCCGCAAGTGGGACTTGCGTGTCTCTCGTAGTGTATACGCGGATCTGACAAGAAACGCATTTGGCAAATGAATTTTGCCTATTTTTGTCCAACTTTCAAAAGCTTCCTATTTTTGTCAAAGTTCTTTATTTTTTGCCTATTTCTGTCATTAACCCTGCAATACTAAACCACAAGGTAGAAACATAAAATGGATAATTTATTAAATAAAAAAAATGGTTACCATCGCAGCATTGCAGCATTGGTGTCTCTTGAATTTTTGGCATTAAGGCAAAGTTCTGGGCCTAACAACTTGTTCATGCGCCTAACAAGACGATAGTAATAGTGCCTAACCTGCAAAGTTGAATACAGAAAGGCCACAACCAGAAGAGAATTAAAATTATGATGAATGCAAAATTGACTTAAATTATCTAGTATGAATTCACTAAATAGGCAGTATGGTATTACCTGATCCTTGTTCTTACTTTGAACACGACTAGTGATTTTTTCAAAATTCTGTGGGGAAAAATAACATATCCAGTGTCATGATGTATCTTAGAAGAAGAAAATTAATTACAATTACACATGATAAATGAATTGCCTTGCCAACATGTCGCAGTGCGGAGAAAAAACTTTCTTCCTCTTCACGTGTCCATGCAGCCCATTTTCGTGTCTGTCTTTTCACTGTGTTGAAATATATCCACAAGAAAGGAATAACTAGTGAATCATGCACAACTACAAATAAGGGCCAAAATGAAAACTAACTTGAGCCCATATGTTTCTTGCATACCTGGCTGTTGAAGTGCAGAATGTTCTTCAAAGGATGCTAACTGCTCGGTCACAGAATGATCTTGCGAGAACATTGCCTGTTCTGGTATAGCATGCTCTTGAGAGGATGCTATCTGTTGTTCTACACAATTAACTTTTCCAAAAGTAAAGTCCCCGTCCTTACGTGGGGAACTCCTAAGGTAGTGATCTGCTTCACTTCCCAAAGTGAGCTGCAGTTCCATTTGTATGTATCATCAGACGGGTATGAACTTCTATACAGCTTTTGACAGAATACTTCTTCAGCTACCCAAATCAATGAGAGTCCAAAATTATTAACTGTGCTGAAAACATAAAAGACCTTTCAGTACATAAGACAAGGTGATAGAAGTTGAAGAAAAATCAACATGTTCATCCAACTAGTAAATTAGTAATTCATCAGTAGCCATATATCCAAACACTCTGGAAGAATATGTAAACTTACATACATTAATAGAACAACATTGGCTTGGATCTCCAGATCAAAATAGATAGTTTACTATTGCATTGTACTTTCTTTGAGTTTCACCTCAGATTTAGTAGGAATTAAACAGAGTAAACTAAAGCAAAGATAATTCCCAAGAACATGCCCAGTTAGTAAGTACAAATGTGTATAGAGTCAAGAATGAACATGCAAGTTACAAGCAACTCACTTAGATATGATGGTAAAAATGTATACATATATAAGGAACAATAATGAATACATGGTGAATGAAATATGCATTCTGAATGATGCATACAGTTGATATTATAAAAATACAGCATAGTTGCTTAGATGCAGATATAAGATCTTTGAGGCTCCAGCACATAATCGATAACTGATTGCAATTCAGCAACTTAAATATCAAATTACAGACAGAATTTTAACATCAAATTGAAGCAGCTTCGGGGGAATGCATTAGAATTCCCAATCTTAATACAATCATCACCAAAAGCATAAAAATCACAGATTTGAAAGAAATATATACAACACTAAAGTATTTGTCCTGGAAAAAATGATAATATTTTGTTCAAGGAAACTATAACCAATTAGATTCAAGAATTAACAACCCACATGAACAATTTTTCCTTCGTGAAAAAAAAAAAAAAAAAAAAAATCGAACTTGAAAACCATATGCATGCGAAGAAAAAGAAAACAAAGAATTGGAAAAGGAATTTGCTAACCAGGAAGAAGAATCGATAGATTAAGGGAGAAAAGAGCGATGGAAGGGAAATTGAAACTGAAACCCTAACCCTAATTCAAATGTCGAAAGTGAATAATGAGAATTGCAGTAAAAGTCCTACAAACATTTTCGAGTAATAAAAAAAAAACACGTACTTTACAATAAAGCGGTTCAAACACACCACCTGTTCGATGGATTGCCTCACAGGTATGCTGAGAGAGTGGTTTCGAACATGAAAGCGCCACGCGTGATGGAGAAGCAATTCTGTGTAACCATGTCACAACACCAATTCTTTTTCCAGTAATCAAGGTGCAACTACTTTCTCTTGGTTTTATTTTTTCTCCTTAAACTAAATTTAGAATATAGCCTTAGCTCATTTGTTTTGAAAGTCTAGGGGAGATAGAGTAGTGTGACATTATAATATATTAATTTTATTTCATATTATTTCGTTCTTATCTTATTTTATGACCTTAGCGTGTTGTTGAAGTTATTTAGATCAAACAACTATCAGTAAGTGAAGCCCGACAAGTAAACTATAATTGTATTGGAAAGTATCTAAAACATAAAGCAAAAAAATCCAAACTATAAGCAACGCACCCGAGGAACCCCAAGAAGATCGTCTCTGAACACCTCCCCATCGGTTGATCAAACATCTCTATACCCCGTCCCTGAGCCAAAGCTTGTTTCGCCAAGAAATCCGTCGAACGATTTTGCTCCATGAAGACATGAACAAATTTAACTTGTCACACCTTCCTACTCCATCGTTTACCGCCATTGATGATATTAGTTGCCGGTCCATTAAGTATATGTCCTCACTGTCATGGTGGTTCAGGCAATCAATAATATTTTTAGCATCACTTTCAACCACAACCTTCCTACAACCCTTCTTCCATGCTAGTTTAAGACCCTTAAAGATAGACCAAGCCTCAGCTTCTGCAATAGAACAATTTTCAATATTGGCAGTAAAGCCGACAACCCAATTCCCATTCTCATCCCTATTGAGACCACCATAAGCAGTGTTCTCAGTTCTGCCATCTCTACTTCCATCTGTATTTTACTTGGTCCATACTGCTTCCGGACGAGTCCACTTAAGCATCTCCCGTCTAGGCATCCTCGAGTTTCCCCTAGGGTGCTTAGCGTTCTCAAAAGCCCGAGCGAATTCTACTACTTGCTTTGCAATCCACCCTGCTTTAGATGTGGATATGTTGCTCCCATTGTTGAAGATTTCCTCATTTCTCCATCTCCAAAGCCACCAAATTGTGGAAACCTCCTACAGAATTTATTTTGCTTTTAAAAGCTAATTTTAGGAGTAAAGGGTTCACATTAAGTAGTCAAATTTTCACAAGAGTTAATACCTTCAATGGTCCTCCGAGTATTGGGGTGTTACTAGGTGTGGTCTCTCGACTTTAAAATCACCAGTAAACGTCCATCCTACTAGTTTTAAAAAATTACCATTCATGGTCCTCCATTAAGTTGTCTGTTAAACGGGCGTTAAGTTGGAGGGTAAAGCTGTCCTTTCACCATTATTTCCTTCCTTCCTTCTACGTTGACCTCTCTTTCCCCCCAAATTGAGTTTTCCCCCAAATCACATAGCCCTAATCAGCGAACGAGACCAAGGACTCCATATCGCGAACGAGAGTGAAACAAAGAAATTGAAGAGCACCCAAATTCCAGAACGAAGTAAAGACGAAGGACTCCAGCTGACGCCAAAAAAGAACAATTTTTACTCCCCTGTTATAGTTACATTGTGAATTAAACCAATCAAAAACGTCAAAAAATCCCATTTTTACTCACCGTTTTAGTGGAATAGGCCAAATACCTACGCACTGGATTTTAATTTGTCCAGGAAGTACAAAACGTCATATTGTTTCCACATATACATACTCGGTCAATTAATTCTCCAACATGTCGCCTCCTTGTCATGGAACTTGATCCATGCGAAGCCTCCATTGTTGTTGCCAACGACCTTCACCACTGCATTCGGGCTCTCTGATTTGGGGGAAAAAATTTGCGACCTATGATTTTTGTCAACGAAGACTTTAAGGAAGAAATAATGGTGAATGACAACTTTGCCCTCTGACTTAACGTCTCTTTGACAGAAAACCTAACGAATGACCACAGGTAGTAACTTTTTAAAACTTGTAGGACGTCTACTAGTCATTTTAAAGTTGGGCGATCACATCTGGCAATACTACCCCAATACACGGAGGACCATTTGAGGTATTAACTCATTTTCACAATGTACATAAGCTTAGCATGTGACATAGACTTGCAACACCCTGCAATAATTTAAATAGGGAGTTCAACATAAGGATGAAATATGACATAAAATACAAAGAGGTTAAACGAATACCATTCTACTCACATATGGCAAAGGAAATGAGGGTAGCCTAAAAGTTTTAAAATTTAAACACACACATATATATATACACTTATATATATAATGTAATTGAACTATATTAACTTTCAATATATTTCTTGCCATCTTTGGAATTTAATTTTTTTTTCTAGTAATTAGTTATGACCATTGAAAAGAATTTTATTGTACTTTCTTAAGTAATGTTCACCTGAAGGGATAACATTTTTTTTTTTTTTTTTTTTTTTTTTTTGACCTGAAGGGATAACATAATTTCTTTTAAATGTTAAGATTTAGAGAAAATCTTGAGATTTGGAAAAGTGTTTGACAACTTATCTCCATTTTTTAATTATTCTTTTTGATGATTTATTTTTGGTTTTCTTTATTATAGTTTTCGATTGTATTATCTTATCTTATTCTTTTTTTAATGTTTATATTCATTATTGTGTTTGACTTTGTGATCATGTTGGATTTAATGCTTGTTGGTTAGTAGTTGAAACGGTTAAAAGAGTCTAATATCTGTAAATTTATCTAATGGCCGCAAAGGGTGTTGATTTAAACTTCTCTTTAAATAGGTTATTGCAGGCATTGTGAAATGGTCGAATAAGAGAAATATGTTTTAAGGTTTTATTGGATGATTTTCAAAAGATGTTGATGAATAAGAAATTTAACATAACCAATGATCTTATAGTCTAATGGCACCAAGTTGCTCCCTCCATGTGGGAGGTTGTGGGTTTGAGTTTAGTAGAAGCGATATTGACTCTTTGTGCTTCATACTTTTGTGCCACATGTGTAGTCATTGTTTATATGATGGTAAAATGAGACTAAATTCATTGTATTTGAGGCCTACATATAGCTAGTGTTATGTGTTTGGGATTTATAACATATATATGAATAAAACTTTCTCGTTCTTTATTCTTGTTTGGGTATCTACTATCTCAAGTATAATTATGTTACTTAAGAATCTACTTGCAACACAAGGGTTTTTACACTTGATATCATAGCAAATTTTTTACATTTGTAGCATGGTGAATTAAGTCCAAGACTATGAAAAATCTCTGAAGCTAATTCAATTCAGAAGTAAATGCGATCTATGAAGCCTTTTCAGTAAGAACGAAAAGTGGAACGGGTTGTGATGAAGCAATTGATAAATGTTGTTTCTAACCAATATGTAAAATGATGTTAGATAATCCTTCAATCGAGAGAAAAAATAAAATAGCAATTTGCAAATTCAACACATACTTTTGAAAAATGAAATACAAAGTGCTTCTTTAAATCTATTTGGAAAGGAAATTAGTATTGATAATGAACTTGATGTTGAAATTAATGACGAAAAATGTAACGAAATTAATTGGCTTGATACACAAATAGTATAATTGGATTATGTTAACAGTGAATTCTTGTGACTACTATATGTTCAATGAAATGGTTGTGAAAATAAGTAGAGTTGATTTTGTTGGATCTGTTATAAACATATTTAGTGGACATCATTTGTAACGGATGTAACGAATGCTTTGATTGCTCATTATGTATATTTATATCCTTTGTAATGGACACACCTTATATCATGGTGTGGAGATGAATGAATTGATTGGCCTCGTTATCTTGCATGACATTTATGATAGTTACATTGTACTCCAGTAGTAGTACATGACAAATTACACTAAGTGTTTTGAATGCCATTGCTTTTTTATTTTTGTTGAAAGATATCAAAAACTTAGTTTTCTTTTGCGAGAACATACTCTCTGAGTTTTGAATCTTCCCTACTTGACAATGTGTTTGGTCATTAGGCTTTTTTTTTTTTTAAAGGTCAGAAAGATTCTGAATATGAATTGATCTTTGAGTGACTAATGACTCATGACTCGTGAATGAAGTCTGCAACTTCTATTTTTAATGCAATGCTACTATGCAAAAATGTTATGTGCTTAACAGCTAAAAGTGAGTCACACCATGTTGGTTTGCCTGAAGCAAATAAATTGCTAATATTTGGCATTTAATCTCCCTAAGATTGTCAAATGTTTCTCTCATTTTGTTCGATGTGTATGCTTGCCCTATCTAATTTTGTATGCCACTTGTGGTAAATTTCATATACATTTGAGAACTTATTATGTTGCGATAATCTTTACATTTTAGAGACCCAATTTTTAATTATGACATGACCAATTGGGTTTCTTAGGGCAAACATAATGAGTTAGATATTACAATTTCTTATCCACATGAGTACTTTATAGAGCATGTGTGAAGGAGAAATTATTGAATTATCTGTTTTGGGGATATACTTTTGTTTTAAATCCAAATCTAACTCACGGCATATCACAAACCAATCCCTCAAGGATTGTTATACCTAGTACATGGTTTCAAAATAAACATTTTCCTATCTGCGTTATTATTTATAGTGGCGCAGTCTATTTCAATATATCACCACCACAACGTACCTCTAAAAAGGCTACCAAAGAAGCCTCTGTCTCTTGATTAATTAATATCAAGAGCACATGATAGGAGACCAATACATATCCTTAGGTACGTTGACAGCATACTTAATTAATGAAGATTGCTTCTCGGCATTAGGGGAGATAATTTAAGAGTTCAAATTTAATACAATGCCAAGAAATTTCATAGAATGAAAATATCTTCATTATTTAAATCCATGTACTAGTTAAACTGAACTGGAAGTTCAAAAGATAATCTATTTGCGACATTAGCAAATAATCTGCCAAATACATATATTGATCATACTGATCATAAAAGAGTGACTAGGTCCCATATACCTTCCCCAACTTGGACCAAATAATATATCGATACTCCTTGATACCAGAAGTATAGGAGATCCATCGGTGTAAGAAATAAGAATCATTATACTAGATCTAGTATAAAAATATTGTCACTCTTGAAATAGCATTGAATAATTTAGTCCTGAAGACGCTCGTCCAGATGATGAGAAACCCTAGTGAATTTATAGGTGCACCAAACAAACACAATACTAGGGATGCGGAATGACTAGATCAAAATATCTTTGGGAAATGTATAGAATCTGATTGTTTTAGAAATTGCCATTACATTTACAAATATGGGAGACATTTATAAAAAGGTTATAGTTATCGACAACACAATTGTCATTACAAATTGCTCAGTTATATGATAATAATCTGGATCCAGAGTTAGGCACCAGAAGTGCCATGACTATTTAACGTATAAAGGAGCAATTAAGGCATAGCTCGACTCGCTAAAATGGATAATTCTCTTTATAATAATACACCATTTGAGCGTTAACCCTGAAGGTTACATATGTGTGTGTGCATGAAAGAGAAATAAGAATAATGAGGTGATGAAGCGAGTTTGTAGCCTATGGGTTCACGCAGAGACCCTTAATTGATTTTAATCAAATATACTCTCCCACGGTAAATGGCATTAAGTTCCGCTACATAATACAATTGGCAGAATAATAAATTTAGATATGCAGTTAAATTTATTTTGAGAAATCCTAGATGGATTCATAATTCTCGAAATGAGGATTTATTTAAGTATTATTATGTGTCATTATTTACTCTTTAAAGGGTTGCGAATGGAGTTAATATCCTCATTGAAGGAATAATATGTACCATTGTGTGCTCGATAAAGGGTTGATAATGAACTTATTTATTATTTATTATCTCAGTCAAGATTGATGGTGTAAACATCAATGAAATATATAAAGAGCTTGATAATGTCAATTCATGTTTAAAGACTGAGACTTTTGAAATAAAAAGCTTGTGAAAGCTATAAGTATTATCTCGACTTGAAGATCGAGTTTTTCTTTGAAGTTTTTTTTATATACATCAATCAGCCTACATCTAAAAATGATTTTTCACATGTCTATATGCATATAAGTGTCATGTTTTTTTTTTTTATCAAACTAAAGGTTGCCTAATAATCTCTTGAAGCAGATAAGGAACCTTTTTAGACTCGAAGTCCCTTACTTCATTATCGTTAAAGCACCATTGTAGAACCAGAAGTTTCATAATTGTAACATATTTGCGATGAAATTGCTAGCAAAATCTAGTGCTCCCCCTACAAATGAAGTACTTGAATAATGAT